TTGCATGGGAGTGAGTAATAAGTCTCTCGCATTTTGCCGCACACACGCCACCCATGCAGCCGAATAGGAAGGAAACCTATACACTGATCTCTCTTCCGGTCCAGCCAACCAGTTACGCCTCACTGCCGACCAGCCAGAATATTTTATATCTATCCGGCGATATCCAGCTGAGCTCGCAAAGACCGCTCTTTTCTTAATTCGGCATAATTTATGAGAATTGCCGTGTGCACGTTCAATCCGAGATTTACTGCTTCAAATTTGGGTCCGCCCATAAATCCCTCGCAGTTCTTTCAACTCTCCTCAAAACTAGATTCCACGTGTGGAAAATCAGCTAGACGAAAATAAAGGCTGAAATTATTATTTATATTATATCGATGCCTATTATTTGTTTGCAGTAAGTTTGTTCTTTCCATATATAATGAAAGAAATGAAAATAAAATATTTAAAATTGATTAAAAAATTTATTTTTAAACATAATTGAGGATTTTATTAAAAAAAAAACAAAACTTTGATAATTCTGATATAATAAAATTACTACAAAATTGCTATATTAAACACAGAGGTGGGAATTTTATAATTTGGTGTGAGCAATAAAAAATTTAAATATTTATATAATAATCTATATGTACTGTGGGTGATTATTTCATAAATTTTGAAATTAACACAATAATAGGCAATAATAAGTGTAATGTCTTCATTAGACGCATTTATGTCTAATGAAGAATTATTGAAAGAAAAAAAAATACAAAAATTATATAATTTTTCAGAGATATTATTGATTACAAATATTGAACTTACAAAATTTTCCAGTCATGCGTCCAATAATAAGGGTAAATATTTTTATTTTCTTCATTAATCAAATGTAATTTGTTGTTTTTATAGGATTTGTATTTTTTTTATATATAGACTTTTAACTATTCAAAAGATTTCCTATGAAAGTTTGACTGACTCGCGTATTAAGTTCAGAAACTTGCATTCATATTTTTTGTTTTCGCATGCGAAAAGTAGTTTCGCCGCAGAATGAAATCTCCCATATCATGCTCACATTCAACCCCATATTTTTATAGCTCTTCTTCAGCACCCCAACACCGAACCGCTCCAAATTCCAATTTAAAGTTTTCCCAGCCAACAGCGGCACACACACACATTTCAATAACGCAATACCATCGCTTTTGCCGAGAAGCAATCAGATAAAAGCACGGATAACACACATGTATATTAAATTTAAAAACTGCACGACTCGGCTGCTTTTTGTTGAAAATATTATGGCCCTGCTCACGCCTACTTTATGGCCTGCCAGACTTTTGACTTTGATATTAAAACTGCCTCCATTACTTTTTTTCCGCCCAATTTTCTATTTTCTGTGTGCTGACGAAGGCACTACTTTTTTTGCCAACTCTCACAGACACGTGCTCGCGGTACGTTTGCATAATAAATAATTTTTCCGTGGCATCTGCGCTGATACGGCCCCCGTGTGTTATATTTTGACTGAATTTCATTTTTTCTCCTTTGACATCGCATGACCCACAACAGTAAATATGTAAAAAAGTAGAAAAGCTGCTGCTGGTTGCGGTTTAATTTTTTGATAGGCCAGACACACAGAGAGGGATGAGCAGCAAACAATAAAAATTGAGTGTGCGCCCCATAAAAAAATCAAGGCTCGCTGCGGCGGAATATGGAAATTCGCCCACATCAATCAAAGCCGCTTCGCGACCCTAATTGCCGCCATTTGTTTAACAGTCGATTTTTATGCGGCTGTTCCGCGACTGTTTTGACTGAATTTTCTTGAGGGAACCGCAACAGTTGTAAATAACTTTCCGGTTGCTGTTTCCAGAATGGATCTTACTCTTTTTTTCAAAATCACTAAACACAAAATTCGCCTGCTTGTCAATCGTTCAGCTGTTGTTTTCCAATAAAATGGCAAGCACGTAACGTAAACTGAATGATGAGCTCAATTTTGCTGATTGAATTTGTCAAAAAATTACATACATTATTTTTAATTTTTCTGGTTTTAATGTTGAAAACGTAAACATTTTTATTTAAGGTTATTTTTTTGTATTTTTTACATTTTATCATTACTAGTTATAAAAAATGCTCTATCAAATTTTAAAAATTATATCTTATATTTAAAACATGTAAATTATATATGTAGTCATTTTGTATTAAAAAAATTAGTTAAACTGCTAACAAAAAAATTTATATCACACCCAAATTTCTCTGTTTACAAATTTAAAATTGATTACACGTTGAATCCTCAATACTAAAATCATCAAGAGATTTATTTTTGACATTGATATTTCCACTAAAGATACATTTTAGTTATAAAATTAATAAACTGATTATTCTTCCCGAAATTAAATAATTTTCAACACGAAATAATAGAAGAATAAAAACCAATAATTTGATACTTTCTCGAGCTATAGAAGAGCACTGTTGTAAACAAATTTGAAAATTCAATATTAAGATTTCTTGTGAAATTGCTAAGGATTTTCTTGATCAGTAAGGGTTTGCTTTGACAAATAAGTCTTTCTTATCTGAATTGAATTAAAAAGTTTGAAATTATTTCTTTTGGATTGAAACCTTGAAACTGTTCTTTGCAGCAATAATTGTAGATTGAAACGGCTCACCCGGTAGTAAATGTAATACAACGGAGGAAGCGCTCAATGTCTGCCGTAATTTAATGCTGCTGATGGATGACAAACAGGATATCAGCTGCTCGCGGAGGATCGCAGTGTGGGTGTGAGAAACCACCTGATATGCCATGCATGAACAGCGCGTTGTAAACCGAGGACGACCGTAACACTCTGCGTTTTGTAGGCACTTCAATAGAATCCAATCGTATTTTGTGTTTGTAAAAAAATTAATATCATAATTAATCAAACGTAAAAAGTTTATTAAATTCAATAAAAAATTTCAAAATTAATGATAGTGTTGATGTATATTATATCAACGGACAAAATAAATAAAATATAAAATATTTATACCTAAAGTGTGGCTCAATCATTATTTTTGAAAAGAGAAATTTTTCTTAGATTTTCCATGACCGTTTTATTTTAAAATGATGCAATAATATATTTTTGTTTAGTGTTATTTTATATAGTGTGGCATTTTTTTATTGCTTATATTTTTATGTTTTAAAAATTTCAGATCACTTGTTATAAAAGTTGAGAATTTGAATATTTTGTATTGACGAGGCAAACACATTTATTAAAATATTCCCTTCTTTCTTGAAGGAAATAAAAGCAGACGTTTTTTTTCAAATGCCATTTGCTTTTTTCTCAAGTGTCTCAACTTTTCACCCCGGAAATGGGACCATTTGACACTACATGCTATCACAAATTTTCGGCTACTTTTCAAGAAGCAAATCGGCAGGAAAACAGCCATACATTTATTTCACTGCTGCATTGCACGTAATGCAAACACAAATCGCCATGCAATTTGCCTATACGCATATTTTTGAACATTTAGATAGGGCGAAGCATGTGGGGGGTGCCACAGCGAGCGGTATAATGAATTGATAAAAATGCACACGAGAGAAAAGGAGCTAATGGTGTGTGCTGTGCAACAAACAGCGAGAAAGAGCATTGCCTGGTGGCCAAAATATCACATGGCCTGTGTCGGCGGCACACGCGCGCCGTTCCGCTCCGTCGGCGCCACTTCCTCCGCAGGAAGGCCCCATCGCATGCCGCTCGCTGCCCAGGACTGGACCCTTCGCCCCATTTCCTTCCCTGCGGCAGGTCTCTTTCTCTCACTTTGCCACGGGGAAGCGCATAAATATAAAAGAGAATGAAATATATCGGAGGATGAGGCCGTCGTGGGAACAGCGTGTGTGCTGCTGATTGCTCTTAATTTATGGTCTTGCTCGCACAGTATTTGTTTTGAATCACCGACTAGAGGGCGTTCAACAATGACAAGTTCTCCTTTTGTGACCAAAGTTCAAGAGTGGATTGAGAAATAATTTATGTTGATTTTTAAGAAAAATCATTTTGCTCATATATTTATTAAATCCATATATTTCTGCAGATTATGATCAGTATTTTAAATTCTCAATTTTTTATTCAATTATGTACATAATCTTAATATTGCTTTAAATAATTGAAAGATAATATTTACCCAACAGCAAAAATATCAACTTCATTATCAGTTTTTAAAACCAATAACTTTAGTTTGTGAGAGAAAAATATTTATATACTGATCATTTAATGCACTCATTTCTCAATTAACAGTACGCTTTTGAAAATTTTGTAAGTGTAAGTACCTTTTAAAACAGAAAGCATTATTTAGAATTATTACAAAATATTAATGCTATATATTATATGGAACAGACAAAATTCACAATTTATTTAAAAAATACATTATATTAAATAATAAACATCAGTAAATATTTGTAAAAATCTAAAAACCTTTAGTTCTTAATTGTATTAGTCTTTTTTTATAAAATAGAAAGATTAAAATTCTAAATTAATGTGAATTTATCATATATACTGTGTTGCTCTTATTTATTAGAATATTCAGGATTTTTAATAGCATTAATTAATCCTGCTAAAAAAAATGTCAAGCATTTCAGATTAATTTGCCATATTCTTAGAACTAATAGAAAAATTCACAATAACGAAAAGGAAAGTTTACAGATTATAAAAATTTAACTTATAACCTCATCTTGCACATTTTTAATCTTAATTTTGGCAGTCATTGAAAAGATCTCTTTTACCCACACGTAAATTTGTGAATTGCGCCCAAGTGCCCACGTTTCATTTTTTCGCGTTCAGCGGCGCCTCCGCGAGCCGTGGGCGTCTCACGAAGCATGCGATAGGCGTGGTTTGGGCGCGATGGGCGTTGCACCGTATTTTGGACACAATATGATTTCATCCCCCTACAACAAGGGATGATTTGCGCGCGCATTATCACAATGCGGCGAGGGGAATACTACGAGAGTGTGGAAGAGGAGCCGCCGCTGCCGCCGCCGCCGTGCACATGCAGAGCGTGCATAAAAAATACAACACACACAAACTGAGCGAGCGACCGACAGACCGCGCTCTTTAATCAGCAGGGGTAGCGCGGCCAGGGGAGGGGGGAGCGAGCGGACGGGACAGCAGCACGTGCTTCGCACTCTCAGTCTTGTTCCACGCGCCCAACAAGCAAGAAATGGGCGATCGGCTCCTGCGCTGGCACCACCACCGAGACACGCCGCAACCCTTCCCACGCGGAGCCTGAACTGTCCGTTCGCGTGCGAGAGCCCGAAACCGTCCTTCAACCAACAAACAATTTTTCTACTCGCCTACTCTCATACATATTTTTTCACTCCTCGAAAGGAAAGCACCGAAAATGCCTCGCTGCCTGATGGCCAAGAAGTGGAAGTACCCGTGGGACCGCGAGAAGGCGGCGGCCGCCGCTGCCGCCTCCGCCGCCGCCTCCGACGAAGAGAAAAAGGCCGAGCAGCAGTCTCAGGAGTCGTCGGCCCAACAGCCTCCTCCGTCCTCGTCGGCTTCGAGCTCGACCAGCACCACCACTCGTCTCGGCTGGGGCCCCTCCAGCCCCACGGCGGGCGCCACTGCCCCCAGTCCGCCTCCAAATGCTCCCGGAACTCCTGAGAGGGTGGCCGTTCTCTACAACGGTGAGTCAAAATTATTTAACACCATTTAATGTTATTATTATTATTTTTTTAATTCATGCTCGACCGGTTGCCGCAAATTTCCGGAACCCCTTGATAAATTATGAACACAAATTTGTAGGAGACGAACAGAAAAATTTAATGTTTCAAAATTTGAAAGCCTTGAATGATGAGCATAATATATAAATTACTTACTTAATGTAATATATATGGAAATAATTACATTTTAAATTCTTGATGAAAACACTTTTAATTTTTACTTTTGATAAAATTTACTCTCTAATTAATTAAAAGATTTAAATTTAATTTATTGATCAGTATAATGTCAGTCAATAATATACAATTAGGACAATGAAGTTGTCGAATTTTTAACTGACTTTAATTTTTTTCTGATCTTATTGCCTATTCCTTTTAAATACGTTGTAATTTAATAATGTATTTTATAAATATTTTAATTAAAATTGCTCATTTAGTTGCTTTAATTTTCTCACTAAAATTTTAAATCACAGCCGTGGTTTATCTGCTAATCTTCCTTCAAAAACTTTTGGAACTCGCTTATCTCAATAACTCATAAATCTGTATGCGCTCGAGCCAATTTCGAAAAAGTAATAAATCGCGACGCCGAAACGAGCATCCACGGACGTAAATCATTTGACAAGCGCGCGGTCTTTCGACTTTTCGAGGGTCAAAAACTTGACGATTAATGCAGCAAGTGGGGCCACGAGAACCCTCTCTTTAATAATTTTAAGCCTCGGATCTCGAGTCTGCCGAGAGAGAAATCGATATTATATGAAAGTTTGTGTGCGAGTGTGAGAGAGAGAGAACGAACGCTCTTCTTCATTCTCTCTCTCTCTCTCTGTATATATGAATTGCAGCTCACCCCATGCACACACGCGCCTTTGTAGCGAGCATTCCCGCACAACCACCCCTGTGTGTGCGTTCCTACTACAAAACACTACCAGCAGCAGCAGCAGTCGCGGCAACAGGCCAAAACCCCAACCCTGCTCAACCTCCCAATTGTGCACTATATCACCACAAGCGGCGGCTCCTTCTGTACATGCATATAAAAAATAAAACGGCGTCGCGGAAAATGAAGCAAAGCAGGGCCGCCGGCATTCCATAATTTATAAAGATTGCGCTCTCCCGCTCGGAATTTTATTGCCTCTGTCTGGCCGAATTACCCGCCCAGATATGAAAACAAAGAGACAAAGGATGCGAATTTCTCGCATTCCGCTCCACTTGAGCTCCGCCTGCGGCGCGAGCTGCTAGGCAATCCGCCCAACGTCAGCGTCAAACTTGTTGCCTAACTGTCAAATTCTGTTTGCGAAGAGGAAAGAGAGATATATAGAGAGCTCTGGGAAATTCATACAAGTGTCTCCGCTACAAATGATCTTTGGCTTTTGTATCTGATGTGATTGTAAATTTAATTAATTAATTATTTATAAAGTTAAAAAAAAGTTTTCGATCTAATTGATGTAAATGAAGAAAAATCTTTATTATAAAATAAAACAGTTCAACTATTGGCATATATTTTGCTAAAATTTACAAGAGAAATAAAAAAGTATATTTCACAGTAGTAATTAAATTTGCTTTTGAAACAGATGTGCATTTTTTAAATGAAAAATTGTTGCTATTTTATTGATAAATAATTTAACGTTCTACAAAAAATTTATTACTAGAATATTATTAGAACAAAAATTAAATTTTGATATCAGTTACATAGTTTCTCTTAAATTAAGTATGTAATTCATGTAATTTTTAATAAGTTGCAAAATAATATGTATTGATATATCACAGAGGCAATCACTGTCCATGGCAAGATACATCGATCATCTATTCAAAGTAATTATACATTTATACTGATATTAATATAACATTATTAAATAAATATGTTAAAGATGAGGACATTTGGAATATTTAAAAGCAATTCCAACTAACAAATAGCTCTATTTTCTATTCCAAGCACGGAAATATTAAAAAGCAAAATTTATCATCTGACGTATATAATTTCTCTGGCCGCAAACTCTTTCATTGCCGCAATAAAAAATTGGCCAACGAGTGAGTTTATATTTAACAACGAAAAAGTTGTGCCTGCGCTCCACGGAGGACAGAGTGCAAAGTGACTTTTGGCAGTCGATGTTGTTGTTTTTAGCATATTATATGGTCGTATGACGGCATTATACAGCTTACAAGTGGCCGTGCAATATAAACAGCGGCGGAATTCAAGCGACTCTGTGAGCGCCGCCGACCGACCAACTCGACAGTATAAATTTCACAAGCCACTTTATGCTCGGCTGCTGCACAGTGCAGTCTCTTTTTCAGCAGCTTTAAAACTTTTATACATTCAGTTGTTCAGTGTAACTTGAATAATCCAACAGGGCATAGTAAAGTTTTAAAGTACATTCGCCATAAACTTTCAATATTACATGTTATTCCTGCTTGAGAAGAAAAGTGGCCCGTTTCTTGCAGAATGTGTTTTAACACTCGTCTGCACTCTTCTTCCATACTCCAGAGACCATCACAATCAACGAGATTGCTTTTGTTAAAAAAAAAAATGTGCAATGCAGATTTTTCATGCAAAAGTGTTATGGCTTTTTCCCTTGTAAGCGGCCGATCTATAAATCACAATAATTCAGCAGCACATGTTGCCTGCGATAAATCAATACGTGGTTGGGCTTACGCAAACATAATCAGGTGCTACGCCATGTGCACGGCACACGTTATTGGTCTGTATAATTAATACCTGCAATTATCCATAATTGATAGTGGTTATTATCAATGTGTTGCTGAACGCGGCTGGACAGAGAGCGCCGCACGGTTCTAATTGTAAGTGTAATGGGCGCGGCCAGTGTGCAATCTAGATCGTAATTCGCACGACAAGCTGTTGAAAACGGTCACACTTAATGGGGAAAAAAGAACAAAGGGTTGAATCTGCATATCTATAATCTAGAACACATTCAAAAAATATCGATCAAAAATAATGCGGAGTGCCTTTGATTAAAAATATGGTTTAATTTCATTTAATATATGAACATAAGCAACACAAGTTAAAAAAAAATGCTTCTTTTAATGTTTCTAGTCTCACTTAATTTTGATTGTCTGAACATTAATTATTTTGACAAAATTAAAAAATTAAGTTTCAAATGCACCCTGAACAGCACTAATATCAAGAATCTGGCCAGCACCAGAGACGCTCAAATTTATATATGTAATTGTTTTCATAAAAGTCAATATCTGGATATAGAAATAAATTTATGGCTCCTGTTTATCAAGACATTCAAAGAATTTAGCATAATATAAAATAAATTCTGCATAAAATAAAGTAAATTAGGTTTAAATTAAACCACATGTTATTCTATTCAACTCCTAAAAAAAAAATTAGGCAAAAAAACCGATTTTTATCTGAAAATAAAATCGGCTTATTTTTCTAGCCGAGAGCAAACCTTTTCAAATTAATTAATATTTTTTGTAAAATAAATTACAAGACATTTTATAACCGGCAATTTTTTAATTGCACGTTTTTTTTTTAAACTGATGTATTTGAATTTAGTTTTAATTTTCATGAGAAGCATAAAATACATTACTCTCCGCATTCCAAAGCCAGCTAAACGAATTTAATTAAGCCAATTTAGATTGTCAAACAAATCATGACGGGCCCATTACCCCAAAGTGCAAATGCGCGTCGGAATTCGCTCATGCTTTCCAAGACATTAATCGATTTGTCGCTAATTAATTTTAATTGCGAGCCACGGTCTCTCTTGAATGGTGCATGCACAACTTGAGCGCGAGACCACCAACATCTGCATACAACCCAAGGGGCTCGAGGTTCAGAACTTGACGCACATAAAGCACTTTGCTGGCATCCCAGAGGAATGCATTGTGTGTCATTCATAAATTATAGATTACACGGCACGACGCGGAAACGCGCGCGCCGCTTTCCCAGCTGCCACCGCTTAAATTCTCAGCCAGACATTATACTACATTCGACCTTATTTTATATAAATTTTGAAATACATGTATAAAATTCACCACATGGAAGTTTATGCTCAGCAAGCCGAGCCGAGAGGTGGTGCGCGCTGGAGAGAGAAGAAGAAGTTGAGCGCCGAGCGAGCAGGTCTCTAAGGAGGCGCAACAAATAATCCTGCAGCGCTAAACACACAATATACACCTCTTTGTTTTCTCGAGTTGAGGCGGAAAGTAGATGGGGTAGAATTATTTGAAAAGCGGTTTAATCCTAATGAAGATTCACGACTGGAAATTAATTTTGTTGAAATTTTTAATGCATTGACTGCGATTAACTATCAAGTTTCATTGAATTTATTAACTTAATTTTATTACTTATTTCAAATATTTTCAATCTATCCAATGTTTTGTAAAATTACAATAAGAAAAGAATTTACTCAATCTACTTTAATTAATTTATGTGGCTCACATCTCATATAAATGTTACTGAATCACGTTAATTTTATAAAACTTTTGATAATTTATGTCGTCACAACAGTAGTTTTTTAAAGAAATTAGCATGAAAATCGTTTATATTAAATTAAACTTGAAATTTACAAAAACTTAAAATGCAATAAAATATAAAAAAAATAAAAGTTTTAAATTATATTCTTATAAAAAAATTTAAAAAATATAATTACAAACTTAACCATATTATATAAATTTGAATGTTAGAGTTTATTTAAATAAAAGTAATTACTTCTTGTCGTAGCAAAGCTATAATATTAATAAAACAATTCTAAAAACTCATTTTCTGATCTCTCAGAGGCCTCATTTCGCTAACTAAGTAGGGTATACGTTAATAGAGGCCCACGAAATATCCGAGCGCAGCATAAATTTGGCGAATTTCAACACGTGATCACCCAGATTAGGCGCTAACACGGGCTCCACTTAATATCCAAGCGCGCGAGCCTATTCCGGCTGCAAATCACGTTCCGCCGTTATGAAGGCCTAATGCATAACAGCCTGCCACAATTTACAATAACGATAATCTCATGTGT